GTGGTTAACTTTGGTGCTTGGTATGGTGTCATTTCTTTTCTGAATTTTAAAAATTACACTGAATGAAAGATTACTGGTGCCACGGTGGTTGACTGTGATGCTTGGATGAAAGCTTCAATACCTTTTCATTTGCTAGCTTTTGGGCAAATGGTTGTTAGCTTAAAGTTATTGCATCATGTGGTTGAACTGTACTGAGATAAAGGATGATCATTTATGGGTGTAACTGCATACGGAGTCTCCTCAACTGATCAGTAAACCAGTAATTTAGATGAATGTGTTTAAGTAGGTTTCCATGAAAATTTCCCTTGAACCATGTTGTAGCAGCCTGTGATCACTTATGAGATTTGGCTCAATAAATATGAAATAAGCTAATCTCAGATAAGGACCAAGGAAAGTTTTTCTTCATCTTAAACACATTATATTTTTCAACTTTGGAATATAACCTAAATTAGTTTGAATTCTCTGGATAGTACAGAAACTTGTCTTTGGTTCTAGTCTAATCTTACCTAGTTCCAGTTTTCTTTATGTATCATAAATACACTAATTTCTCTGGGTACTTTGTACAGTTTTTGGAAGATTTCATAGATGGAGCTGAAGTTGCATCCCTCTTGGACTGCATTCGGCTCACTGCAGGACCTTTGCATGCTCTTGCTGCTGCAACTCGGCCTGCTCGAGCTAGTCCTGCTCCAGGAGTCCCTGGGGTATCTGCAGCTATTTCTTCTATGCCAAAACAGTCAGGAAACATACCATTGCAGGGACTTTTGCCAAGCAGTTCAACTATGAATGTTAATCTGGCTGCTTTGGGTCCAGCAGGAAATCCTGTTGCATCTGCTTCTGCAAGCTCTGTGGGGAATCATGGCCTCCATGGGGTTGCAATGTTAGCTGCTGCAGGGAGAGGTGGCCCTGGCATTGTCCCCAGCTCACTTTTGCCCATTGATGTTTCTGTTGTATTACGTGGTCCATATTGGATACGCATAATATATCGCAAACATTTTGCAGTTGATATGCGATGCTTTGCTGGAGATCAGGTTTGGCTGCAACCAGCAACACCGCCTGCAACACCAGCCACAGGGGGATCTTCTGTTGGAGGGTCCTTTCCTTGTCCACAGTTCAGACCTTTCATTATGGAGCATGTTGCCCAAGAATTAAATGGATTAGATTCTGGTTTCACTGGTGGTCAACAAACAGTTGGCCTGGCAAATTCAAACAATCCGAACTCGAATTCAGGTCCACAGCTTTCAGCAAATGGAAATAGAGTTACCCTCCCTACTTCTGCAGCGATGTCTAGGGCAGCAAACCCAGTAGCTGGTTTAAACCGTGTGGGAAATGCCCTTCTAGGATCACCAAATTTGGCTGTTGTGAGCTCGGGATTGCCAATACGTCGATCACCTGGTAGTGGTGTTCCTGCACATGTAAGGGGGGAACTGAATACAGCCATTATCGGTCTTGGTGATGATGGAGGGTATGGAGGTGGATGGGTTCCTGTTGTTGCTCTTAAGAAGGTTCTCAGGGGTATTCTCAAGTACCTTGGAGTTCTATGGTTATTTGCTCAGTTACCAGATCTTTTGGAAAGTATCCTTGGATCAATCTTGAAGGAAAATGAAGGTGCACTTTTGAACTTGGACCGGGAACAGCCTGCCTTGCGTTTCTTTGTGGGGTAAGACAGTAAAAGTTATAAATTTACAGTTGCAATTTGTTTCTCTGCATTTATCTTTTCCACATGCGGGAAACTTGTATCTTTAGTTCTTGTTTTCTCTTTATCATGACGAATTTGCTGGCTTTATGTTAAAAAATCATGATTAATTGCATCAATTGTACTTAGAACAAATTGATGGATACTAATGGATGTACGATATATGATAATTAGGATAACTTCCAACAGTGACAATATAAAGATATAGGGTCATTTGATACCTGGCATTCAATGCGTCAACCTCACAAAAAGTCTCGTTTATTCACGTGGCTAGGTGTGGTTGGACCATCTGAGATTTTGGCTGACTTCATTGTCTCTTGCAATTTAATTCCTGATAGACAATCAATTCAGTAATAGAGACGGGAATGCGAAACACATTCTGCAAAGTCTTACATTATGTCGTGTGCTGGAGGGGAACAGCTTTTAGATAGTAGTGTTCACTGCTTGAAATTGTAGTTTGGGATTTGACATCCTAACTGACCACATTGTTTTCTTTCCATGCATGACTATTAGTTTTTGTCATTTTAAAAATTAGAAAGATTTTCGTGAGCATGGCTAACCAAACAAAATTATAGGATGAAGATAGAGATGGATAAGTATAATATAATTTATTAGGATTCATTTGGCTCATTACCTTGGTTAGATAATGAGACAATAAAACATTTGGGAGAATAGCCTAGCATTGTTGTTTGTTTGATATCCGTTGGGATGCCCTTTTCTTTTTGGGCTAATCTTTTGGTATTTTATATGGAGGAATCCTGTGTTGTTTGGATAGTCATCTGATTGCATGTCTTTCTGCAGACTTTATGTGTTTGCCGTAAGCGTCCACAGAGTTCAACTTCTTCTTCAGGTTATTAGTGTGAAGCGCTTCCATCAGCAGCAGCAGCAGCAGCAGCAGCAGCAACAACAGCAGCAACAAAACAATGCTAATGCTCAAGAGGAATTAACTCAATCCGAAATAAGCGAGATATGTGACTACTTCAGTCGCCGTGTTGCATCCGAACCCTATGATGCCTCACGTGTTGCTTCATTCATTACTCTTCTCACGTTACCCATATCAGTTTTAAGGGAATTCCTGAAATTAATAGCATGGAAAAAAGGGATAGCCCAGACACAAGGTGGAGATACAGCACCTGCACAGAAACCCCGAATCGAGTTATGTCTTGAAAATCATACTGGGGTAAATGTTGATGATAGTTCTGAAAGTTTGTCTAAAACTAAAAGCAATATCCACTATGATCGGCCTCATAACTCCGTGGAATTTGCACTGACCGTTGTACTTGATCCCGCCCACATACCCTATACAAACGCAGCTGGTGGTGCTGCTTGGCTGCCCTATTGTGTCTCAGTGAGATTAAGATATTCATTTGGTGAAAACCCTAAGGTGTCCTTTCTTGGCATGGAAGGAAGCCATGGAGGACGTGCATGCTGGTTACTTGTTGATGACTGGGAGAAATGCAAGCAGAGGGTGGCTCGAACGGTGGAGGTTAGTGGGTGTTCAGCTGGAGATGCCACTCAAGGAAGGTTAAGAACAGTTGCAGACCAAGTACAAAGAACACTCATTTCTGCCTTCAAGGATTGAGAGATGGTGGCAAAGATGGATTTACAATGTCCCAGAACCATTTTGGTAGTATCATGTAACTACACGTTTAAGATAAGTCTTAATTGTCTAAGAAAATGATTTATTAGCATTTCACTGTAAATTTGATTAGTGGTAATATTACAAAACTAGCAAGCTTTTAAACAACTTTTTATTTCTCTAAGAAAATGAATAATTTCATTGTAATCAAAGATTTTGTTCGTAAAATCCGAAATTTAATTTAATTTATGCAATGACTCTTAAAAGTGTCATTGTATAAATTTAAAGTAGAGGATTGCACATGGAAACGTTACCATATCTATCTTTTTCAAAATGTCCAAAATTATAACTCATTGTGTATGTAAAAACCAATTGATTTGCTTCCTACTAAGATCATACATGGTTTGATAATGTAATGGGATTCAATAAAACCAAGCCAATGTCCAAAAATATAACACTCACTATTACAGGACCATTTCTGGTCTATCCGTGTTAATGAAATCCATCCGAAAGGATAGTTCATTCTTGGGGTGAATAAATAGAGACTACTGCTACGGGATAGGCCGCAACTTCGGGATCAACCTCAATCAATTATGGCGTAAGGGGCTTGCCAATCCGTCGAGATTAGTCAGCTTTCCTTTTATGTTTGACCAGGTTTTCAACTCCTCATCCCAGGCGGGCGCTCAAAACCCTTAAACACTTCAGGCGTTAAAGTCACTCTCTCACCAAAGGCTTAACGCTAAGGAAGAGAAGAAAGCATTGAAGCTCACCTCGTGCTTCCATCAAACGCCTTATCCATCGGGCTTACCCCTGTTGTTGCGGAATAAGCACTCTTGGAAGAAGCAACTGCCTTCCAACATGGACGAGGAGGAAAGAGAAAAAAGAACAAATGCGAGAACACGAGTTTTGCAATCAATTGAGAAAGAAGCTCCCACAGCTTGAGATTCGAGGAGATACAGTCTGTGCTGGGTGCCAGTACGGTAAGGCACATCAACTTCCGTATGAAGAGTCCAAGTTCAGGGCTAAGGAACCACTAGAGCTCATCCACTCAGACGTATTTGGACGAGTGAAACAACCGTCGATCAGTGGGAATCGATACAGGAACCCCAATTATTTAGGACTTGAGATTGTGAGATCATTAGGCTTGTTGAACCAAAAGCTCAAACGCACATAAAATTTGCCTTTTTTTTTCCCCCTAACTTCAAGCAAAATAAATACCGACCCAAAAATCAAGATTTAATTTAATTAATTTATATAATTATAAAAAAAAATAATATTATCCAGCAAATCTTAAATTTAAATACGAAAACTTTAACCTCCTCTTTTATCTCAATTTATGATTTCTTTTGTAAACAATAAAATAAATATCCATAAATTATATATTGACAGTTGACACTCAAATTTTTAATCTATTCTTTATAGCAATCATCACCATAAATTATATCCATCTAAGTTCTTTGGTAGTATTCTAGATAATAAAAGGGTCAATAGCTTTATGCTTCTTTTAGTAGACGTATAAAAATACAGCTTTTCTGCCTCTTTCTCACTCCAATAACTCATCCATTCAGGCTCAACTTTTGTAGAAACAACAAACTCACCTTATAAACAAAGTTAGCAATACATTTTCTTTCTAACTTCTTGATGAGAACCAGAAAATTCCAACAAAGCTTTATATATATATATATATATATATATTATATATATTATATAAAATAAACCAACAGTCCATTATAAGTTTCAAGTTGCATTAAAGTTTTCTGCAAATACATCACACATACCTATCTATCCCTTTTCAATGGTCCCACCTCCCACTATCCAAGAAAAAGAAAAAGAAAGAAAAAGCAGAAAGAAAGCGAGTTGCCACCACCAGGATTTTTTGGTCGTCCTCACCCAATTATGGATGTAATAAGAGGAAAACTTCAATGGACCTTTGGAAAATTTTTTCCTTTTGACTGACCATTTGAGTAACATCAATATGCCTGTCCAAGTTTTTCTAGCATTGGCCATTGGCAGTCACTCTTTTTTCTTTTGTTTTTCTTTGCTTTTCGGAACAAAACTGAAAAAAGGAGAGGGTGGAAAAGTTACACTGACTTGATTGATGTTGCCGATGAGAGTTAGAGATTGGACTGAAGCACTAAATAGCCATTTAAATGCATGTTGTTGTTTTGGTCTACGAAGGGGTGTTTGATTCGGGTTTAACTGTTGGTGGTGCATCAGGTTGGCGTGTTCGGAAGATCGCGGAGGCCAGTGATATTGGCATGATGCAAAGTGCCTTGGACTGAAGAAACTGCATGGCAGCTCCAATGTCTTCTTCCATCAGCTCAGCCACTCGCTGTTCAGTGCCATCATTTGACCATTTCTCCCAAGCAGGCTGGCTTCCACCTTCTACACCATCTCCCTATTCACAGAAAAATGAAAGTGAAATCAAGGAAAATAAAACTTAGAAAACACGAAACTTTGAAAAAGACAGTCATCTACTCGATCCAGTTAATAGATTCCTAGAAAACGACCTGTCAAATGTACATGTACGTCCTAGCATACAACAATTAATAGGAGATAAATGTACAAGTTATTACATAGTCCTTATGTTTTCATGCATACTCGATAGTTTATTGCCTAATCATGGAAATTTGCATGCTCATCAGTACCACATTCCACATATTTCGTAAGGCAAGATTCAGAACTATGATTATTCCATATGCATTACCTCAAGAGACGATAGGGGTACATCGGCTACAAGCTGAGCCACGGCACCTGCTGCACCAAGTCTGCTCATGCTCAGAACCTGTTAAAATATTCGAACGAAATTGATGATCATGTAGCGAAAATTATTGATAACAGAAATTTGCTGTTGGACAAAAACAGTAACAGTAATGCAGTTCACATTCTTTACTATTCGATAATGATTTATTTGTAGAGTTGAGATTCCGATACCAGACAACAGTCAATTTAGTCTGACATTCTAACTACTACACATAAAGGAATGCCGTAAGGTCTTCCTAGATGTCTAGAATTCAACAGGAGGGTCCTACCTTAGATAAGAACTTGCTAAAGGGTGTTGGAAGACATTATCAGAAAACGTAATTCAAATTGGTTAAAGATCACTTTCAGATAGCGATGGATGAGGTGTTTTTTTTTCTTCTTCTTATTTTTTTTAATTTTCTTAGGATTAAAGAAAATGCTATTGCAAAAGCAGCAATGATGAATTCAGTAAGTGTTTAAATTGAGATCTTAAATGTTAATACCTTGACTTGAAGCCTTAGAAACTTCACATAATCTACAATTTCATCAAGCATGGCTGCCCTATCCGTCTGCAGAAGATTTAGTAATGCATCAGCAAATATGGAAATTTGATGTCACAAACAGATTCTCTATCATTTCATAATTGTACAGGCGCATTAACTCCCTGGATTTCATAAAAAATGGAAATGTTTCCATGATCTCATCATGCAACGCATATACAATTCAAGCAAACAGCAAACGTGATAAAACTCAGACCAAAAGCAACGGAGGCCTAGCCTTTGGCTAGTGTCAGTAAACAAACAATAAAAACATTCGAATCTAATGCAGAAACACAGCAATCAGTTGGACAGAAACAAGTTGGTTTATTCTACTATTCATAAATAGGAAGAAGAATCAAAATGAAGCAGCAAACAAGTACACATAAAATACTTATGATGGCAAGTAGATGGAAACCTTGTTGCAGCTAGGAACCAACTCCTGCAAAGCTTTCATTCTTTCAGCGATTCTTTCTCTACGTAACTGCATTCATGACGGGCATGTAGGGGAGGGAAAGGTGCAAAAGCTTGTAAGCAAAGAGGGAATATGTGCAAAAAGAATAGAAGAAAGGAAAAAACACATCATATAAAGAGCATTCTAAGTATCTTGAACAAAGAGGAACTAAGCAGTGGCTCATAAAAGAACTTGTGCTCTGACATAACAAATGCAGTATGATACATCATTCCAAGTTTTATGAAACAGAAATCAAGTTTACCCGCTCAGCGATACTGTGGGGATCCGTAGCCTGTCCTCGCCTAGCTCGCACCCTTGGACGGATGGCAGGTGGGTGTGGTGCAGCAGCAACTGGACTTGATGCTGGCTGGCTATGAATCGGCTGCATCAGGATGCAATACATTATTCAATCAAAATTTTCTAAAGTTATGTAAAAGGACAACATAAAAAAAGAAAAAAAAATCAGCTTCCTAACAAATCAAAAGACAAAGATATTCAAAGACAAGAGAATGCTCATTCCTTTAATTAAACAAGCAATGAGCTTGATGATAATGATCCCCATTTGGCAGCATCTTGAGAATTTGCACAGATAAATTCAAAGAAATAAAAGATTAAAAATTTGTCAGAATCACAACCCACAATGTGCATGACATATTAATCTTCATAAATAAATTATTGAACTTCTAATCATTTTGTACAAATGGCTCACTTGCGTATTTCATTGTACCATATCTTCTAAGTCTAAGAAGATCTGAAGAGCTGGATTCGGAAAAGCAAAAGCACACAGAGCACATATAAACTAATAGTTCTCAACATCAGAAACATGACACGACAAATGGATGCGTGATAAATTACTTCCATACAATTTCATTCAGGATTCATGGGGGATTAAATTTCAGCATCTAGCTTCCTAAAGTTGATCAAGACTCAAAACAATGCAAATCAAATCAAGGGTACTAATATATTTTCTTACGTACTTAACGAATCACTCACTTTCTTGAGCTCCAAGTCAAACAAAAAAAATTTTGGATCCAAAAAGAGGTTGCAACTCGAGAAAAAAAAATTACAAATGCTGAAATTTAAATTGTAAACCTATGGATGTCACTTTTTAAGAGTAACTAACCACCTGAACTATGCATCGACTTCTCTAACAAAAAAATTTAGGACGTTATTATACAAATCTAGCAAGTACTTGCATAAGTTAGCATAATGCCACACTAAAATAATCAAAACATTTACCTTAAATTTTCCAAGTCAATGAAAACCCCCCCAAATAACTTAGGAAATCTAAAAAACTAAGAAATTTAGCTCCCCAAAATCTTGCCAAAATTCTGCAAATTGAAAATAACACAAAGACATAAGAAATGGCTTAACCAACCATCCACTGCGTTCATCCACACAAGTCGAAGATTTTGACCAGAGCCAAATCTTAAAAGTAAATGGAAACCCATATTCAACTTTTGAGGCGCTCACGCGCTTGTTATCAACACTGAAAGCGTGTGGAAATCCTCCATTTCCTGACAAAGACCGTCACTAAAATGCTGAAAAAGACCAATCAAGTCCCTACTAGTAGTCTAGTATCAGATGAGATGATATTTGCTGTTTGAATAGTTCTCCGCTCGTGTGGAAAAAGTCACACGTGCACTACACATTCTCTTGTGTCAGAAATTATTAGTACCCTTTCAACCCTCTCCCTCTACTTTAAATGATATTAAACCATAATCATTAAACCCCTATATTTTCCCAAAATATCAAATATACCCCTGACCCAAATCATGTGATCGTACAAAAAGGGCAAAATTTACAGAACACCCTCGAAAGAATAGAGAACAAAAAGGTACTTCAATCTGATTTTTTTTATTTTTTTTATATGCTAAGAAATAATGCTACAATAACAGGCTCCAATAGGGATAGGGAAAAAAATTGTGGGAATGAGACTTACAATTTTATTTTTTTATAAATTAATTGAATTAAATTTTAGATTTAATAAAAAATTTTAACTCAAAATAAAAATTAAAAACAAGGAGATAGAAATATCAAGGGCATTTTTGTCCAAAAAAATAAGTTTACCTGGTGCAGCGGGAGTGGAGGCTGAGGACGAGGTGGTGAAGGACGGATTTGCTGAGTTTGCATTTGTCCAAAAGATGGAAACAAACTTGTCATATGCATAGAATCCCTCTCCTGCCTCAAAGCAAAGTTACAAAAGATTGTTATGACTGAATTACCCTTCTAATTTTCTTCATTTTAAGCATATAACCTTCTACAGATACCATAAAAAAAAAAAAAAAAAACCCTTTTTCTTCTTGTTCAAAGGAGTCAGTCCAACCCAAGTTAGAAGAAATTCCCAGTTGAAAAAGCTGACTTTAAAATGAAAAATAGGTACAAAAATTTCAGGTTTGAACTGTTTTTCAATATGAATTATGAAAGCAGCTGAAATTCAGCATCCCTTGAAAACAATAGCCTGTACAGGCGCCTATCGCTAATATCCTGTACAAATCTTGAAAAAGAAAATTTTGCTTAGATTCTACCATAATTACACATGTCATTCAATAATCCAACCCCTTTATGAAAGAAATCTTTTTGTATTCATTCTTCTCCATACAAGTGAAAAGCACATAAAGGAATTAAAAAATAATAGATAAAGCATATCCCAAAACTGCCAATCCTGAAATAATTCAATACTAGTAGCCCGTTTTCTGTACCCAACTTTGAACGGAAAAGGGTCAGTAAAAAAATACCAAAAACAAACAATAAAAATGCATAGATGGAAAGAGAGATGGGTTGAATTTCATACACTGATTCCAGAAACAGCAGAAGCAGCTGAACCAGAAGCATTATTGTTGTTATTGTTGGTGTTGTTGTTGTTGTTGTCAACTACAACTCTATCTTCATGTCTTAAGAATCCATGTTCCAAATTCAACCCTAAAGGCATCATTCCCATACCTATACCAATTCCCATCCCTCTAAACCCTCCACCACCACTGCCACCAGGTAAACCACCACTTGACCCTAACTGTACCCCCATAGGCAAGGTGGCACCGCCCACTTCATCACCACCTCCACCACCAGCACCGCCACCATAGCCTGGAGGCACTGCCAGGATCTGCTCAAAGAAATCGTCACCTAACCCTTCCTGTTGATTACCTGCCATGCTTAACCCTTAAGCAAAGCAACTGCTTCCTCTGTTAACTCTATATATTTATATGAAAGACTTTAACTTTGAGCTTTCTATATATAGAAGAAGTGTTTCTCAACGTTTTAGACAGTGAAAGGATATTCTAAACATTGGGTTTTTCTCTTTTTATTTTTCTTCGTGGGTTCATAGAAAGCTAAGGCGTTTTAACAAGTAACCATGAAAAGAAGAAGAGGGTGTTTGAGAAGAGAAACTGATGAGAGACTAGTTCTTTTGTTGTTGTTGTTGTGTTTCGGCTTTTGAGTCTCTTGTACTTTGAGAGAGAGCTTTGGTTAGTGTTGTGAGTTATCATTTTAAAGGGGGAGAAATGGGAGTTTCCTTTAAAAAAAATAAATAAATAAAAGAATAGTTGCGTTTTAGGACAACTCGCATGGAAGAGCGTGGTAAACAAACAATCAAAGGATGGAAAAAAATCAAGTGAGGGTGATGATTCGAGTTTGATGAACTCCATTTTGTGTTGCATGTAATAATAATATATGATAAATTGATAACATGTGTAACACAATATTTACAAATAGCACGGAAATAAGAAATAACAAATTTATAAATATTTATTTTTATAATAATTAATAATAAAAAAGTATTGATGGTTGATTTTTAGATTTTATTAACAAAATTCAAGAATTGATAACTATCCTAATAGAATATATTTTAATAAATACATGTTAATTTTTTAATGATATTCAAAAATTTTCATTGTGATTAACAATGGTGATTATTTATAAGACGGATAAGAAAGTTTAGTATTGAAGAATTAATTAATAAATTTTATTAAGCCTTGACACAATCGATTAAATTATTACTATGTGAATTTATGATTACGAATTTGAATTAAGAAAATAATTTCTTATAAAAATATAAAAAAAAATTACTTATAATATATCTTTTTTCGAACTCTACAAAAATGCTTTGCCGAATTATTTTTTTTAATAGTTAAAGTGGATGTTTTCATCATCAAAAGACAAAAGGAAAACGGGAGAATTGAAGCAATATGTTTTTCTTTTTTTTTTTTTTTATTGTCTTTCTATGTACTTTGTGCTAAGTGATACATTATAATCCAAATCAAAACAAATACCTTTTAAGGCGTGTGTTATATATAAATTACAAAATTCGAAGAAATGATATTGATATATCACAATTTTGCTATTAATTTAGGTGTTGTTATAGTTTTTTTTTTTTTTTAATCTCCCTCACCTACTTTCTGCCCCCTATTGCATCCCTTTTCTAAGCTATAATTGGATGATTGAAATTTTACAAGGTAGGCCATTGGGGTCTAGGTCAGTGTGATTAATTAACCAATAATGCTCAATTTTTTGTCTAATCAAAGTTTAATACACCCCTAGTCCCAAATGGAGGGAATTACTGTTTTTGTTCTTTGGTAAGCTCATAATTCAAAAGGCTAAAATATTTTCAATGTATTTTCTTTGGATTTTTATCTTTTTTCTTAACATGTCAATATGTGATTACCAACCTAATTAAGGGTGTATTTGTCGGCATAATGAAAAATTTCCTCGTCAAGATTTAAATTCAATCATAAAATAATATCACGACGAAAATCTCTCTCACGTATATCTCTCACGTGCTTTAGATAGGGCCCATTTTAAGAAGAAACAATGAATTTTGGCTCACCAATGAATAATTTAGAGTAAGAGAAAAGTTAAGTCAATTTGAGTGGGCTCAGACTACCCACCCAAGGCAAACAAAGGAAATTGGGGCTCTGGCTAAAGTACAGATTATTGATCAATAATTACAAAAGCTAGCTAATGATTCTTGTTCTTGGACACAATTCATAGAACTCGACAAGCAGCACTTCTTAAGACCGACCCTCCTTCAGCTAAAACAAATAGAGAAACCCTGGTGCACAAAGCTCTCCGCTTTGCGAGAGCTGGGATGAGGATTTATAGTACACAGTCTTTGTTCTGCATTTTTTGTGGAGAGGCTGTTTCTAAACTCGAACCTGTGACTTTCTAATCACAAAAAAAAGCAACCTTACCATTACTCCAAGTCTCGCCCTCCTTTAGCTAAAACATATAATCAGATTTTTTTTTCTTTTTCCCTTTCTTGCTTTATGCATCAAGAGAGCTTGACAACTTCAATCTGAGTTAAAGCTCTCTTGCAGGACAAAAATTTTGAGGGCTTGAACTTGGTAGTTCAGTCACTGGATACTAAAATCTCAGTTCTTAAACGTGCACTAGAAACAATGAATCAATTATCGAACACAAATAATCGCTAAGGAAACTGATCTACCTTCAAAATTATATGTTCTAAGCTCATTGATACAACAGTTATGAATTGAGAAATTGTACCAACTAGATTATGGTTTTACAAACTCATACACTCTCCTTGGAGCTGGAGACCTCAAGGTCTGGTTTCTTCTCTTCACTAACTGTTATAGGATTCTCCTCAGATTGTTCTGTTAGAGACTCAGGATCCGTTTTGAGCTCAGACTCAAACTACTTCACAGCCTGCAAAATTTAGAGACTATCAAATTTAATCTTATCGACCATGTAGAGTGTAAGCAAGGCTAAATCTAATTAGAAATATAACTTGGGAACATCTTTGCCTTGGCAATATATAAGAAAAAACCTTTCAGTAATTGTTTTTCCACAAACCATAATGCTCAACATGAGCCACACAAGAATGTCCTTGAAATTCAGTCTAAAAGGAAAGGATTCTCAGGATATCAAGACACCGTGGTATCACCAATCTCTAACTCATATCATTTACTGGAGAAAGACATGGCATTCCTTTTCACTGAGAAAATGAAAAGGAAGCTCTCTGAAATTGGAAAATTGTAAAATAAGCCATACTTAATTCCAATTTCGAGTCATTTAGTTGCATATTTCTTCACATTTTGCCCGCTAAACCTAAAACTTTGGAATAAAAAAGGTGCAGTACGAAGAGAGTCAGCTGGCACCTTAACTCAACCAAACAAAGAATGATATCCTTTAGCAGTTGGAATTTGGAAGCAAAGAAAAGGTATGATACTGTTGAAGTTAAGATGATAACAAGACAGGCGCTTGCAAGATTAATTCGCCCGAACTAATGCTTATATTCTTTAGCAACTGGAATGCAAAAAGATAGGCATGATGAGGTTTGAGAATGGCACCAACTGAGTCTACCAAAAGAATATAGTTCTATTACAAGAATAAAAAGTTCACAAACAGGAAGCGGTGAGTATAATCCTTCTGGGAAAACTAGATAATCTCTGTTTGAATTAAGACTGGGGGATGTATTTTCTCCAGGACTTAAAAAGCTGGCATCGCAAGAAAAGATCATGTCTTAGCAGAGATCATCATTTCAGCTGTTGTTAACCCTTTACGTGTTACTCAAATCAGTTGAACAAAAGAATTGGATTTTAGGCTGATATATGTTCAACTTAGTGGCAGGTTGTTTTATTAGGTCTAACAAATAAAACTCAGACTGAGATTTTATCTTCCACTTGGTTTTCCTACAGTTTTTGAAAAACACAAAAAAAAAAAAAAGGTGCAGAATTATCCTGTTTTTTGTTTCATTGGTATTGTAGCTTGTTTTGGTAAAATAAATTTGCTCTTCCGGTGTAATTGTTGATTTCATTCTTGCTATATGTTCCCTGTGGGTTTGAAATAAAGAATTAACCGATAATGTGCAAACCCACTATGCTAGGAACTTTTATAGCAACTCAGAGAAAACACACCTGCTAGAAGAGAGGGCTGCTGTCAGAGAGGAGGAGACACAGTACTGGGGACTGATAAATAGTAAAATCCTAGGTTTCAACGATAAGAAACTACTCCAATTCTCACCCATGAAAACTGGTAAATCCAATCCTCCAATCCTATTTCCTAGAACAAGTGCAACACGGTTTAACTAATATCTACCATACCATGTGCTACTTATTCGGATAAAGTTCCCTATACACAAGGTGTGTACCATGAACGACCAATTAAAAGAAATATGAAATTCTCTAGAAAACTCTTAATATACAAGGTCAATAGTTCCCCAAAGTATTCAAGGTGGATTACAGTTAATGAATATTTCTGCCAAGAATCTAAAATTAATGTCAAGAATCATTACTATTGGTCTACAGGTTTGAATTAACCAAGATATGAACTGACTTTCGGTTTAAAGAAATTTCATTGTAATGTATTTTGAGTAATCTCCTTCCCCCTTCTAGATTCCATGGAAACAAAGCCTGTAGAGCTACTTTAGCAACCATGAATGAAATGCACCAAGACGATCCTATTAATTTTATAACTCTCAAAACATTGGACATTTAAGATACAATCAGAGATTTGAATCCCAATGAAAACAGCACAACAAAGTCATCTAATTAGTCACCTAATTAAACAGCAGAGCAAAGTGAAAATTCTCTCCCTTTCATTTGACTATGGCAAAGCCTCCATTTTAGAACAAAGCAAATAACAAAAGAAACATTGTTTCAACCTCTGGGATCATTTTCCATCAAGCAAAACCCAGTTAAGGACAAACTCTTGACAGTTTTCCCAATACTCCTCCCAACTTCAGGCAACTTCTTTGGTCCAATTACAAGAGCAGCCACTCCAGCAATAACAAGTTCAGGCACACCAAGACCAAACAAAGCATTGCAAATAAGACCCTTTTTAGCAGGTTTAGCTCTTGTTCTCCTTCGTGGTTGACCAATGACGAAAACAGATTTGTTTTGAGACTTGTTTTTCTTCAACAAAAAAATGGTGTTATTGCTGACGATAAAATTGGAATGATAAGAAGAAAAAAGGTTGGGGTCTTGAGAGAGAGAGGGTTATAGAAGAAATCTCCATGGTGTTTTAACTCTGTCAAGAACTTCGAGTTAAACCGTTTTGGATCTGTTTTCAAGTAAGAGACCTTCGTATGTTTGTGTGTAGGTGAGATTAAGGGTAGCACAAGTACAAAGATCAGGATGAAAAGATAATATACAGGGTAAGGCTTGGGACTTTGGGGCTAAAAGTTGTATTGTTCTGAGTTTCCACTCTGCACTTCCTAATAAACAGATTTTGCATAAGAGTGTAATAATCAGGTGATAAATAATATCAGAGTTAGGACTGTCTGACTTCACGTCGGGCAAATTAATGGTTAAGTTGATTACTTCAGTGGGTTAGATAAAATGGATGAGTTATGAGAAGAAACGTAAATAATATACTAATATTTGTAAATTATTTAAATTTAATTTAAATAAAATTTAAATTCGATTTAATTAATATTAAATTAAATTTAAATTTGAGCAATTTGATTTATCAAATGAATTAAGTTTGAATATTTTAATACTATATTTGAATAGTTTATGAGTGAATTTTAAAATTTTAATATATTTTTTATTATTTTTATTAAAAATTATTATTTTATTTATATATATTAATTTGAATTTAAATTTGAATTCAAATATATAATTAAATATAAAAATTAAATTTATTTTTTATTAAATTAATTTAATCAAATAATATCGAATAATTTAATTTTTATCTTGAATTAAATTTAAATTTAAAAATTAAATTTAAATTTAAAAATTAAATTTTGATTAAATTTTGAATAATAAATTTTAAATTAAATTTAAATTTTTTATTATATTAATTTAATTCAACTCCATTATACTCGTAATTGTGATAACGCTAACCGTTATAATAAAGTAAGTAGATTAGGTAACTGTTCCACCAGAACAAATAAGATGGATTAATTCTGACAAAAACATCATGATACCATATGAAAAAGAATCTTAAAGCTTTTTAACAAGATAGATAAGATGATTCAACCGCTCTAAAATAATGAATAAAATAGAATAAACAAGATGATTCAATTTCATATCTAATAAGAAAAAAAAAAGCTTTGAAATATATAAACACGAGCATTGCACGTCTTAAAAAGCGTATTTTGCCGGAAAAAGAGAAGGTAATGAGCACGTGACATGTACATGTGTTTGGTATAGCTAATAATAACCCAGTGACGTAGACAAACTTGTTTCCCTTCCCTGGTATCGGGTTCATACCTGGCAGCGCCCGATTAACTATAGCATACAGGATTTTCTGTTAGCCCTTTGAGATATGCAAAAACAGGCTTCCTAGCAGATAACGAGGACGGAAAAAAAAGAAATGCTAACATGATACAGGGAAAGGTCCACATGCTATGGAAATGGCATGGTAAATCGACCACTGTGTTGATTAGCCAGTCTTTCCAGAAGATATCACGTGATTGATTCAAAGGTTTAATCTAGCAGATTCCATTACTACATAGTTAACATAAAGAATAGCATTGTTTTCACCTCTGAAACCAGAAATAAAGTTTGGTCATTCTAAGACATTCTTCAGTAAAACTCTCTTCATACTCTGCTTGTGTGCCTTGCTACTATTGCTCCCCGTTAGACTGGGGTCTACAGGGGCTTATGCCCTCACGGATCCGCTTTTGCAGATGCTCCAAGCTAGCCACTCGCTGCAAAGAAGCTGTCCGTCCAATTTTGTTTCCCGTTGGTGCTGATCCCACAGAATTTGGTGGTATGTTTTCAACTGAAGAAATATCTGTGAGTACATTGTTGATTCTCAGGTCATGAGGGAATATAGGATTGTTTGTAGCAGCCTGATAAAAGGTATGCTTTGGACCATCTTGCGCAGGAACAGCAGCATCTGTTGATGTATCAGAGGCACTTCCATCAAATGATGACACGCCCGTCGTAGATATCTCAGGTGAGGCATGGAACACAGGGTTCAAACCGGTGATTCTTTTGACTGTCTCTTCAGCCATTTTTACCTAGAAAAAAAAAATTCACCGATAGGAAGAGTGTTAAGTACTGATTTCTACTACATCTAGCATACAAACATCTTTAAAAAATTTTTGTTGCAGAAAGAAACTGTGTGCACATTGTATCAATCAGTGATAACTCTCAGGTTTTAAATTTTCAACCAGGTGTGAGCCTTGCAAGATCTAAACGGCAAGCTATAATGGTCTCTGAAAAATTCCCATCCGGCAAGACACTCAATTTAAAGACCAATATATCAATGAATCACTTACCTTTGCTTTCAATGTTTCAACATCAGCTTTTAAAACTCTGTTGTCAACGAATGCTTCATTGTACTTTTGGCTAATGTCAGTAAAACGCTTTGATAAGTTTGCATTTTCAACTCTTAGTTGAGAAACCTACATTAAACAATGGATTAGTATATTTATAACTAAAAGGGGAATGGAAATAAGAGGAGGAAAAGGACGCCCAAAAACAAAGGGCGGAGAAAAGCACCACACCTGTGTCTCAAGTTCTGTCAAATGGGCCTGCTTTCTTCTTCTAGAGCGCCTAGCTGACTCCCTATTGGAAAGCATCCTGAACCACCGTATGAATCAATTGGTGGGAATAGAACTCAACAAACAAAGTAAGTATCTGAAGCATGAATTTGCCCCATTCATGAACAGAGCAAATATTTTCTAGAAGTTAAATGGAAATTTTTGAGCGTCAAATGCATCATAAAATATGCAATTATAAAAAGCATTGGATGTGAACCTACCACAATACTCACCATACCAATTTAACATACGCCATGACCAGTAATATCAGAAATGTTAAAGAAAGCAATAGTTACCTCCTTACACGTTTTGCATCAGTAGGATCCATGTTCTCCATCGTTTTATTTTCTCCTTCAACTTCATCCTCTTCTGACAGTTCTCTTGATGATCCACTTGTGCTTGGCCTCAACTTGGCTCCAGGTTTCTTCTGTCCATTGGGCAAAGAAGGAATTCCAACCACTGCATTATCATCCTTGTTACCACCTCCTATATATCCAGTAAAACAGGAACATAATAGTTAAAATTGCAGTACTCATGATACTCAGATGCACATGACACTATAAAAACTGTACAGGGAAACAGAAAGAACAACTGTACATAAGAAACTTCAGTGATGATTTTAAACCTTGAGGAGCAGTTTTAGATCCCAATTGTGGAGTATTGGATGCGTGGGATCCAACGTCGGCTCCAGCAGCAGAATCTTGGGGATTTACAAAAGATGCCTGTTTGACATATATAAAACATACTCAGTCCACAGTTTCAAGAGCCAAAGGGATTCACAGAACCTTTTAACTAAGGACAAAACAATATGAAAGATTCTAGAGTTTAGATTATAAGAACGGAAGCATAAAAGACTAAAAAATAGAATCATGAGCTTGGTTGACTTTGAGTTGGGAAAAGAGTGACATCAAAACGCTTTCTGGATAATAGGAAAAAAATAACCATGTCATGCATATATCTGCTTTTGATGAATCAAATAAAAACCTATAAGATAAAAGAAGTCAACAGAAGTTCAAAAATTGGTTCACAACCCAGAATCATTTCCAGCTAGTTATAGAGTCAAGAGCTTATATCATGAGGGGTGAGAGAGCTATTTAAACGCCTACCTTTCACCACTGTTTGCTTTTAGGCCCCAAAATATGACACTATGCATATATATTATGTTTCTATGTTGTTAAAAGCCAATCATCCAATGAGAACAATGAGAGTATTAGAGGCCCATAAGATGATCTACGAATTTCTATTTCCTAAAGTTTTTCTTTCTAAAATATATTTCCACCAAAAGCGCTTAGAAGATCTTCCATTCTAAAAATAGACCTTTCAGCCCTTACTTTCTGTTCAACAGTACTTTCGTTCAACAGACAATGTTTTAATCTACTGTTATTCACTGTTTCCTATTTTTGGAAGCACAATCCTTTGTAGGATTTTTGGTTCCTTTTTTTTTTTTGGTCAAATCTCAAAAAACAAAATTGTTTTATACAGCCATTCCTAACTAGTCTCCAGCTCTTTCTTTGTCCTATTAGGATTTTTACTTCTTTTAAGGAAAAAGACACTTTTCTTATATAATAAAATACCCTAAAAATCATTAAAAAAAAATCCTAACCAAATTATTCCAAATTCCAAAATCAAGGGAGAAATAATATCCACTACATAATCCAAAAAAAAAAAAAAAAACTATTACTAACACAAAAAATATGCTTGTCATGATTTACTGATAATCTCTGATACAAAGAGGCCAACAATACAAATCACCAACTTAACTAAACTAATTTGTAAATCATGTCAACCTTTCCATTTCCCAGAAAGCCAAACAACAAACAAAAGAAAACTTTGATTTCTCAGACATCCTAACTTCCATTTAACTTTTCTCAGCGACCAAAACATAACCCAGAAAAGAAATTTTTTTTTTTTCAAAAAAGAAGAAATACCATGAGGGATCCAAACTTTTCCTTCCTTACCCTTGATTCAACCCACCTTTTTCTCATCATCCAAACACACAAAAAAGGAAAAGACTTACCCTTGACATGGCAACAGCAGCACAAGCCAAGTCAAGCTTGTTCTTAAGAAAAGCCTGGTATTCCTCTAAATCCATAGGAACATTATTATTATTATTCTCTAAACACCCAATAAACGACGATGCCATCCCATTCTTCTTCTTTTTCAGCTCCTCCTCCTCCTCCTCCTCTTCTTCTTCTTCTTCCTCTTTATCTGCACCTTTCTTATCAACTTCTTCTCTAAGAAACTGCTGAAAAGCCCACTCAGAAGCACTACGGTTCATTTTAAAACCGGGTTTGTTATGGCCACCGGCGGCGGCAGAGGCGGTGGTGACGGCGGAGGATGAGGACCAGAAGTGGTCAGAGATTTCTTCGACCGATAAAACTCTATCCATTGTGTTTGGTTGGGTCTGCTGATTCAGACGCGAGTCATAAGGATTTGGATTTAGAATTTTCTCATTTATTTATTTAATTTTTTATTTGGTATGTTGAAATGTGGGCCCCATTGAAATTTCCCAAATGGATAAGGTGAGGAAATTTGGTGTTCTTGTTTGTAGAATTATTTTAGTGCAACCATTATTTGGATTAGTTTTTTCTTTTTTTTTTTTTAATTTTAGTTTTTGAAATAAGAATAATCACACTCAAAGCGTTACAAACAATATCTTATTTGTGAGTAATCAGTTAAAAATATTTTAATATATTTTTTAAATTTATTTGAGTTTAATTAAATTATTATTTTTAAAATATTTAATATTTATATTTATAATTTTATTACAGCTTATCAAACTATTTGAGTAAACTATGAAATAAATTTAAATGTAAAAAATAAAATTTTATTAAAACAGAATAAATTTCCAGATCTTAACCTTCTAAATTAAATCAAATTCGATATGGAATTGGCTTGATTCAATTTGATTGCTTAGGATAAAAATCATAATTTTGCATGATTGGCTGCTGCATTTTGGCAATTTGCAAAATCAGTCAACAAAGGCAATAAAGGTAACCTTATCATCCACCAAAATTCTCGCTTTTTGAAAATATCTTCTGATTCAATATTTCTTTATAATGAAATGCTTCAATTAAATATTTTTATCAAATTGACTAATACAAATATTTTATTAATTTTTTTAGATGATATTAATTAAATTATGAAAATTTATAAGTAAATTTGATAATTTATGTAATTATATTATGAAAAATATTAAAATTTATATATTTATAATATATTTTATATAAAATTATATGTGATAATTTATGTTGATATGAAAATATAAATATATATTTTTAATTTTATTAAATATATAAATTTATTATTATAATTTTAAATCGTATTATTTTTATATCATAATATTATATCATATTTATATTATATTATAATATTATATTTTTAATAATCAGATCTACATATGAGTAACTTATACACGAACAAAAACCTAATGAGAAGAAATCAATAAATATAATTTTGTTTAATTTTTGGATTAAAAACTGAAGCAAAGCAGAATAGTTGTCCATATATCATTTTTATATCCATGTATTTATTTTATAAAAAAATATATTTTTGGAATAACATCGACGAAGATTTATTAATGAATTAACTAATTGAAACACATTTTGCTATAATTTTAAAAGAAAAAAATGGGTATTATTTATTTTTAAAAAATTTTATTGAAAATCGAGGAGAGATATAAATACTAATGGTAATGGTCACGTGACAGAAGCAAATGGAAGAATCTGTACATAGAATTCCAAAAGGAAAGCCTCCGCCTTGAGAAGCGGCGGCTCTTTTTGTGGACAAATATTGAATTGGGCCCATCTTTTTGTAGGATGGGCTGAGAATTACATACTTCAGGATCAAGGAACAAATTGAGAAAGAGAAGGCTCAAAAGGCATTGACCTATCTATGGGTCATCTAACGTCGTGGGAACTCTATCACCGGTTCAGCAGGGCTCACTTCGTGCTGCTGATGGCAAAGAATGAAGTAGTAAAGCTTGTGTAGTTGCTTTAAAGCCAAGTTTTATTATGTTATAGCTCGACCAATGTCAGGTTGACTCTTTATTTTTGGCATCTAGTTTCTGTACTAGGTGAAGCTTTTATGCTCTCACTGTATTCAAAGTGGCTTTCCATGATATCCTGTTGTTGTAAGATGATATGCTAGGCTTAATAGCCTTTAAATAATATAATTTTTCATTTAGTCATTCATGCGTTAATCGACATGTGATGGTTAAGAACTTTATGCTTCATTGATATTATATGAACTTGCTGTAAGTCTGAAGCAGTCAACTAGCCAACGGTTGAAAACCCTTGTTTCTGTAGCTATTTTCATGGTTGTTTGAATTCGTTAGTTATCTAAATGCAGTGCAAGCTGCTGTATTCAAATCAAGACGAACAGAGGTTTTTTTTTTCATCGAAACTGGTGGATTATTGCCCACCTCGGCTTCACTGGTGGTCCCCTGAATGTCTATGGATTATAGTAATTCCTATATATTAACACTGATTTGCATGCATTTTGGAAACTAAAACATCGTATTCACGTGACGGATACACCCTTATAATATTCTAAAGCACCATAAATACAAGATGTTTCTTCTTCTTTTCTTTTTTTTGTTATTTTTTCTGTTCTTGACTGCAATTTGATCTCACATTTATTAAACACTAATAATTATATGAACTACATAACTAAATTTCAAATTTTAGATTAACCTGGTGACAGCTTTAGATTGCAACCTTTATTGTCATTTAAGAAAGTATTTTAGGTACTTTTTCTAGCTTTTGGTTCATATCTGGGCCTGAAATTTAGTGTGTCATGTCTATGTGGTGACCATGATAGGTAACCATGATAGCTTCTCATGTCATCAGAATCCGTAGTTCAAACATTGCTGAGGATAATATCTGACGTGGCTAAATTGGAAGGGACACAACAAAAAATCGGGAGGCCAGCTTGTTTACGTGTTGTCATATTGTTTTCAAGTGCTTTTCAATGAAAGGCAGAAAACGACAGAATATTCAGGAATTGGCTTGAGCCCCTCCATTTGTGGGGACAAAGAGCAAACCGGCTTGGGGTGATGCTTCTAATAGTCCTTTTGTCTGTGGATAAGTAGTGCTGTAAATCTTTTTCCTTTGCTGCCATAGTAACTCACCACCACTTATCAGCCGTAATACTTTGGCAGTTATTTGCACAAGTTTGTTACATTGTTTCACCCTGCCAATTGAAAACATTTTAGTATGATGAGTAAATGGCTGATCAGTATCAGTAGGAACACTGTAATCAGTTATGGCACCAAATGATGAAGGGATGTTGGCCAACTGGTAAAGATGTTGGCAAGCAGATAAATCCTGAGATCTATTGAGTAATTCATAACTCTTTTCAATGTAGAATTCTGCTCCATAGAATTTCATCTTCAGTATCTTTTTCTTGAAGGCTTGATATTTGTATCCCTAGAATGCAATATGCCACTCCTAGGCATTCTCTTTACATAAATAGGCATGCTAAAGCACAAGTATCTAGTAATCATTACAGTGACAATAGCCAGTATGCATAGCCATAAGATCATTATATGTATTGCTGTGATGTGGCTTAGAAGTGAGGGGATTTGGACAGTAACAATCGTTATAATAGTGTGTGAATCAAAGATATGACAAAGGCCCGATCACCATGTATACAATGTGTAATAGGCAGATAAATAAAAATATAACAACCCTGTGCAGAGAAGCAAACGCCTGGTAAATATGGACAGGCTCTGTCAACCGAAAAGCCAGATAGTTAGTGCAGCCACTCCCTTAATTGTCAAGGTCACAAAAGATGGGATTGGCTTCAAGCTGCTCTGCAAACTTCTCGAGGATGTCTTTCACATATTCCCTAAATTCATCATCCATTTGTGCAGCACTCTTCTTACTCTGTACTTCAGAAAATACCACATCATATAGAAGAATCACAGCTTCATTGGATTCTGCTGGTGGCAAGCCCAAATCTTTTCCATGTTTCTCAAGGAAACTCCTGATTAGCTTTGTCTTCCCTAGCTCATCTTTTCCACTCTTCTTTTCCTGCAAAACCCTCTGTATTACATGGTTGAATTGCTTCTCATCTGCCAAAAGCTGCAATGTTTAAACTGAAAGCCATCAGAATTCACCCTTGTGCCTGAAAACTTGATAATTCTCAACAACAACAAGAATGAAGTAACAATTCTCCTACTACATGGGATCAGCTATATTAATTTTTCACATTCTAAGATTTCCAAAATTATATCCAAGTTTTTCTACTGATAGCCTAGTCCCTTAAGAAAGGAGTTTTGTCACCAGAGATAGTGGTGAAGTCTTCTGGATGAAAAACACCCCCCTTCTTTTTCCAACTGGAAATGGTTAAAAGTGTTAAGTAGCAATTACATGTTGAAATTCAAAATGCGATGCTCTTCATATTACTATAATAGAAGAAGGAAAAGCTTTAAGTTCATAATCTACCTTTCTTAGCTTAGAAGCATTGACAACCTTGATGTTCTGGATGATAACAACATGTTTTTCAGTCAATGCATCAGCCGTTTCCTCCAGAATTGGCTGAAGTAATTCAGCAAATTGTGCTTGGCCCAATTCTTCTTCCCCCTCAGCCCCATGCTTTTTTAAGATGTCATTTAGCAGAGAAAATTCTGTTCAAACAATATTTCATATATATATATATATATATATATATATCAATTTTTTCTCGGGAATGAACACAAAGGTTAGAATATTGGACATTGACAATCAACAATATATCTTTAAACACTGGATTAAGAAGTATGTAAATGTGATGCTGAACAGAATCCTATTCTTGCTTCAGAGTTTAATATAACATGTTTACTTTTCCATCCAAAATCTCCATGAATTATACTATCTGTTTCAGCATGGAAACCACAAAACTCCGCAGAAAAAATGAAATTAAAACTCCTTTCGCTGGGGAGCAAGCTAAGTGACTACAAGTATCTCTGGCATGCTGTCAGGTATCACTGATTCATTCGGCAGCTCTGGGAAGGAACCATGCTTGCCATTGATTTACATAGCAATATACAAGCATTCATCATTCTTTCCCTTTAGGATGATGGTTTTTTTTATAGTGTTTCACTAAGACTAATCAACGATGCAAAAAGTAAAGGGAAACATCATAATGCATCCATGCAAGAATCATTAAGAGAGTTTCTAAAAACACTCGATTATGGTGAACAAGCTAAGTGATTAAAAGCACCTCTGATGTGCTTCCGGGTATCACTGATTCATTTGGCAGCTCCAAAATGGATGCATGCTTGCCACTGATTTACATAACAATTAGCAATCACTTATCATTCATTCCAGTTCGTACGATGGTTTTTTATAGCGTTTCTCAGAGACTAATCAATGCTACAAAAGTAAAGGGAGATGTCATAATGCATCCATGCAAGAATCATCAATAGAGTTTCCATAGACACTTGATTACGGTAGTTTGCACAATGTGATCTGTTATGGACAATGTACTGTGATCTTGATTTGAAACTCTAATAAAAAAGGAAAAAAAAAAAGAACTCCAATTTTGTAAAGGAAACAACTGAATTTAACCAAAGCATATGATTATTGTACGAAGCCATTCTGGGCACTTAGCTCAGATACTTCTCCAATAATGAATTAATATTCCAACACTATTGATTATCTCCCAATATGCTTAGTCTCTTGATTTCTGTTGTTTCTTTAATGGTAAAGACATAAATTAGATTCCAATACTAGGAGAGCCAGCCACAGAGCAGGGAAGTGCACTATAAAATTTTTTTGCCTAATTGCAGAGGCAAAAGCTTCCAAAGCAATGAGAGAGAAGGACAACAAGAAGCTCTCACATTTTAACTTTTAGTCACATCTTAACACTTCACATTTTCTAAGAAGTCCATTTCCCACACAGCATGCCATTTCGGGGTTTAAATTATGGTGTCAAACACGCCCTTTAAAATGGGTGATGGGCACAAGTGGATGCAAGGAAGAGATCAAAGGCCTTATTCTCTTAATACATCTCTTATCAGAAAAATATTGCTAAAACATGGGATGTTTGATCCAGAAATGACTTTCACCAGTTGCATTCAATTCGATCACATATCAAAGTTCAAAAGACAATTCTATACATTAAAACTACATAAAAAAGATGGAAATGGAGGGAAAAACCTGAAAAAGGAGGAATCCCCATTTCAACTCCCATATGAACAAGTGCATTCCTTATCTCACTCTTGCAAATCTTTCCTTTATCTTCTATATCCAAATCAGTAAACAAATCCTCTGCCAACATAGCATAATCATCTTCATCCTCCAAAAACATCTTCAAAGTATTCCCATCCAATATTGACACCACTAGTGGATCATCTAAACCATATATCAACAAAAAAAAGTCAATAATTTAAATCAAAATAACCCAAGGCAAAAAAAAAAATCAGAAATCCATCATATAATTTAAAAAATGCCAAAAAGTTTAGCTTTTTGATAATAATACAAAAAAATCAAGAAAAACCAAACACATAAAAGTCAAAAAACCCAAAAGAAAAGAAAACCCAGATCATAGAATCACCCAAAAGATTAAAATTGTTAAAAAGTTTAACTTTTCTTGACAACCTTAATCATCAAGTAATCAAAGCAGACTTAATGGTACTTTACCTTTCAACTCATCAGCAATGGCAGAGATGTAGTCAGAGAGAATCTTAAACGCCTTTTCTCTGTCGAGCTCCATTTGCCGGAAGGTGACTTCATCATCACCGGCTCCGGCGATGACACGAGAAAGAGCGGAAGCTTTAAGGTTTTGAGGCAAAGAAAGGCCAAAGAGAGAGCTAGAGGCTTTGGAGTCAGCGATTTCAAGGAGTTGAGCTCCCGTGACGGTGCCGTTAAGTTCAGGTAAAGAGAGATTGAGTGACCGTAGACGCGTTCCGTCGAGCACCGTTAGACGTCCCTCAGCCATTGTAAGAGAGAGAGAAAGTTTGGAAAGCTTCTGTTTCAGACAAGGTGAGAGATAATCAGATTCTGTTTAAACTATCTTGGTATCGGTGTTTTTGCTCGTTTTGGGTTTGGGACTGATTTTGCTAAAAATATATATCACAAATGGTCAAATGCGAATTTTTTATATATTTAAGACATGATTGATACATGGGATGATGGATCTTATATTATATTTGATTTATATAAATATATATAATTATAAAAAAATTAATTTATTTTTTACAAAAAATGATTTAATACTTAAAAAATAAAAAAATTAATCAATTGAATTGAATCTTATTATATGATTAAAAATTCATTAATAATTTATATTATACAAATTTTGAGAAAAAATAATTTTGAATAATAAATAAAATTATTTTATTTTATTTTATTTTAATCTTTATTCATATCAAATGCAAGATAAAATATAATTATTTAATTTAATTTAATTTAATTTATAATATCATTTTTTTTTTATTTTAATTTTATATACCAAATATACACTTAAATTTATTAGATAATATATATAGTTTTGGAGGTATATTTAGGATGTGTTTGATACATAATATTATAATAGGATATATTATGAATATTATTATATTAAATAATGTTATTCTATTTTATGCTTAATGGTTATATTTGATATATAAGATTATGATAAAATATGATAAGATAATATTATAAATATGTTTAGATTAAATAATATTATCATATTTTATATTTGATGTATGCAATGATTAGAATATGATAATTTATTTATTTATCAAAATTATTATTTCTTAAAATTTATATAATTTAAATTATTGATATAATTTTTAAAAGTATAAATAGATATGTAAGTTTAATTCTATAGATTAAAAATAATTCTCTTCATTGGAGTAATTGAATAATCATATACCAAGAAGATATTAATCCTTCTTGCAATCTCCATCCTTATCTTTAAATACAAATAAAACATGATATATGATGATTAGTATTCTATGAATCAAACATGATTGATGTCTGTAAGGATTAAGATAATATAATTTATTTATTGATCAAATTATACTCCTCAAAGTTTATATAATTTTAAATTATTGATATTATTTTTAAAAATATAATAAAATATATAAGTTTAATATAGATTAAAAATAATCCTCTCAATTTTTTTATGATTGAATCATTTTATACCAAGAATATAACAATCTTGTAATCCTATCTTTTTAATACAAACTAAACATAATATATGATAATTATCTTTTTATTCTATTTATCATCCGACATATGAGAGATGATATTAATTTATTAGATAAAATATCTATTATTTTTTCTTAACATATATATATATATAAATATATATATTCCATATTTTATCAATCTTATTTGTTCCTCACAAAAAAAAAGTAAAATCTTATGTGAAAATATATTTAGATTGTTGTAATGTAATTTACAAAGGAAAAAAAGTTAAAAGAAATAAAGGGGGCATGGATAAACGTGGGGAATGGGCTTTGGTGAGGATACACCAAGGGTTTACGCGGTTTCAGACATTGATTTTCTGATGAGAGTTTGATTATCATTGGGCCCATCATCCATATTGGTGTAAAGTCCACTTCCGTTTTTTTAGTTCTTGCTTACCAAAAGCAATAATAATAATAAAAAGAGAAAATAAAAAAGGATAAACACTTTTAAGATATTTGAACATGCGTTTAATTTATATTAAAATCATATTAAAAAGTGAATTTTTAAGCATTCAAAAATATAGTATCACTTAATTTTTTACTAAAAATTTATATTTAATATATTGTATGTTATATATTATAGTAAATTATACAAGGATAATTTATAAAAAATTATTTTTAAAATTAAATGTATTTATTTTTAGAAATTAAATCATATTAAATAATAATTATTTATTTAAAAAATATTTTTTTATATATTTTAATATAATTTTGTTTGTGTGTTGTCACATTGCCAGTCTTAAACCCGAATAAAAAAAAAAGGTTACGATAGATTGATGATCAATATAAAATATAATCAAACCATAATGAAAAGCCAAAACAATAATTTTAGTTGGGTTGTCGCTTAAAAAAGTGATTATTGATAGAAATGAGTGGCACAAAAAAATTAAAATTATAATCTAATTTGATTCTCTTACTAATTTTTCATGCAATCGATTTTAGAATATGAGATGTTTAGTGTATTATTGTTATATATGTTTTAATAAACATTAACTTAATATAATTATATTTCATGAATTATGCAAATTAATTATTATAAATTACATAATATAAATGTATTTCCTAATACAAGTTTTATATATTTTAAAATATTTATATTTTATGGTATAATTTGATGCCTATTTTTAGTGATGTTATTCAAAATATATCAAATCTCATGTTATCAAATTTTTTTAACAATAATAATGTAATTATCAAATAAAATCATCATTTAAAATATAATATCGAAAATGATTATTTCTAAAATAAAAAATAATTTTTATTTTCATTATAAGTATAAAAATTCATATTAGTATTAAGTATTATAATTTATTGTTAATGCTAACAACAATTATATGTCCCAATTAAATTAATTATTTTGTTTGCTTAAAAAAGCATCCACTATTTAATCATTCATTTCATTAGGGTCCTTCAAAATTCAGCCAAAAATTATAAAGTGTTAATCTATTGCATATGTAGATTTAAAATTGAAAAAAGAAAAAATTCCAACACCATAAATACCAAAGAAAAAAAAAAACACGCAATATGCGCCTTAACATATATCATTAACAGTAAAAAAAAAATCAATCATTCAAGACTTTTGACTCACAAAAATTACAACAAACTCACAGCCCACTAAAAAATGTACACATGTCATTCCTTATCTTCGGGGAATCTTATTAATATAGATAAAATTTGTGCAGGTGAAATTTATAAAATTGTTAATTAAAAATAAATAATAAAAATTTTAAATTGATAGATTAATAAAATTAAATGAAAAAATTAATAATATGTAAAAAAAATTATTAAATATTATTTATAATATAAATTTAATTGATATTTATATAATATTTTTTATTAAAAATTTGTATTTAATAAATTTATATATCAAAATTTATTAATTTTTTTAAAAAAATTTATACGCTTAATGGGTGAAATTTTTTAATTTATCAATTTTAATTTATTAATTTTTAATAAAAATTTAAAAACTTATTTACGAAACTTTTTACAAATCTTCCCTGTTAATATAAAGTATAGATGCTTTTCTGTTCCTCGTCCAATCTAATTGAAAAGAAAAAAAGAAAAATCCCATCCTTGGTATTACCGCAAAAGAAGTAAAATAATCTGATTTATGCTATAGGTTCATCGCCGCCTCTATTGACTATAGGGAGAATTTCAGATACAAGAGAAAACAGAGAAATAATGGCAGGCCGCGGTGGAAAACGCCTGGAAAGGAAGAAGGATAATTGGCCTCAAGATCTCCTCCTTTCAATCTTAGCTACCCTTCCTGCCAAGTCTTTGTTCCGATTCAAATCGGCATCCAAACACTGGCGATCACTGATCACCAACCCTGATTTCATCGAACAACACCTCGAAAACCAGCAGAAGAAAGAGTACCCTCAACTTATATTTGCCTCTACAGAATCTAAAACCGACCTAGTTTTAGAATCTGTGGCGATCGTCGATGTTGAAGTTAGAGAAGCAGACGGAGCAAAAACCAGGAAAGGTTTCAAACGAACTTCTTTGAATATCTGTCATCTTCCAACTGATGTTTACCACATGTCTAATTCTTGTGATGGAATTCTTTGTTTCTTTGGGAAAACTAACGTCTTTGTTTACAATCCTGGAACTAGAGAGTTTCGGATTCTTCAGATTGGAAGGGAGGGATCTTCCCTTGTTACTTCCTACCCTTTTGATTGCTTTGGTAAGTAATTCCCCCCCCCCTTTTTTTTTTGTTTAGATAGAATTAAAAAAGGGTGTTCATTAGATTCTGCATTGGAAGAGAGAATTCACTATGATTTGAAAAGACGGTTTTCAAGATGGTATTTGAGCCTCTCTGATCAAGTGAATCTTGCTTTTACTCTATTCATTGAATGAACTTTTAGGTTGAGTTGATTTTAACAAGAAACACTTCCTTTGGCAACAATTTTCTTAATATCCTAGTTAAAAAGCTCTTGTTGTAACCATTTGCTTGAACTTTCAGCTTCCCAAATACAGTTGGATATCATCAAGGACAATTCAATGTACAAAAGTTGTGTTACCTAAATTAGCTTGATAATCCAATGAGAACATGTTTTTTGTTCTACAGGGGATAATCTGTCTTGAATTTTAGAGACAAAGGATTTGCAGGAGGTGTGCAGGGTTAAGGGTTTTATGGCTGTTAAGTGTTTTTGAAGTGCTCTGTTTCTTTGGTGTTTCCTGCTTTTTTTTGTTTTAGCATGTATCTTTACTATCTTTGTCTCATATTTTTATTTAAATAATTTGTTTTACCTTTAAAAAAAATCACTTTGATACAACAATTATTGGTATCTTTTCAAAGAATTTTGAGATTTGATATCTAAGTTGGAGTGACTTTCCTACTATTTTAGAACTTGACTATATTGATATATAATCTCTTATTTTGATATCATATTTTCAGGGCAATTATTCTCTAGGTATCACTTAGTTGGGTTTGGTCGTGATCAAGTTACTAAAGAACGCAAAATTATACGATTGTTTAGACCTAAAGGAGAATTCGAAGATCAAATTCATGAGTGTGAGGTTTTTACATTAAGTTCAGGTGCTGGGTCTTCATGGAGAGGTATTGGTAAAGTTGCATACTTCATTAGGCTAGCACAAAGACCTGTCTATGTCAATGGAACACTTCACTGGATACTTGATGGTAGACATGCTAACCCTTCTGAGTTGATTGTCTGCTTTGATCTCCATACTGAGAAATTCCAAGCAATATCACACCCAAGTTGTTACTCTGAAAACTCCTTAGATCAATATAAACGACAGTTAATGGGATTATTGCATTTGAGAAACTCTCTATGCCTAGTAGAACCAGAACCAATGTTGCAGCTGAATATATGGATAATGAATCAAAGCAATGGAATTTGGGAGAAGCTGTTTTGTGTTGATTGGGAATCGATGAATTATAAAAATCCATTGCCATTTCCAATAGCAGAACTCAAGGATGGAACCTTTTTTGTTTACCATTGTACGGGTAACCTGCAAATATATTATCCAGAGAGCAAAAGTTTTAGTGAAGCACTTTTAGGACATGAAAGGATGGTTCAGCCCTCTGCATTTTTTGAAAGTTTAGTTCCTTTGTATGGAGAGCCACTGGTGTATTGATCAAGTTATAATACTAAAGATATGTTATTTTTAGTATTAATAGTAATTTCATTTTTATTGGGTGGTGGATCTCTCTTTTTTGATTTTGGAATTTCTAATAAATTTGATTGGGATTTTTTAAATAAATTTTGGAGTTGGACAAATAATGAGCAGAGACCAGTTTAGTCTCCTTTCATTATTTTTATATATTATTTTTTAATACAATTTTAATTATCATTTATAAGTATGAATTTTACAATTCATAAGCTGAGTTTTATTCGTATAAATAATGTAATGAGTGCAGTGAAAAGTTATAAAAATTTTGAAAAAATATTTTTATCAAAATTTGTTCTAAAATTATCTAAAATTAAAATTTCATTAATGACAAAATTCAATAAAAAAACTAAATTTCTTAATGAAAAATTTGAATTAAATTAGAGTGTTAAAATTAATGTTAAACTAAAATAGAGTGGTAAATTTACTCGTATATGGCTTTTGGAATTTAAACTATTCTTCCCTTATATCTTTATAAATGATTGAGCTCTTTACATTATGCATATAAGATTACTATTTCATGTCGCGTTCGTGCAATGGCGTTCTTTGTATCTATTGATACTTTTACATTCATGTCCACAACCCCTAGCACTGGAGAATTGCGAACTCTGCCTCTAGGGAACACTCATTCACTTTATTACCCGATGTACAAGGGTATGTATTTGTTGATATATTTTTTTTACTTGATTTGTTCTTATTTTATCTTATTTGAGGAAGAGAAAATTGGCATCCAACGCCTTTAATTTTATTGATTAAAAACTCAATTATTTTCACTTATAATTTTCGGTTGCTTTCAATAGATTTTAGAACATTTGAGGTTAAAATCTTAACAAATAATTGACTTTGAATTGTACAAATCAATGACGCAGGACAACATTGCAGTGCAAATAAACTAGTAGGATTTAGTCGTGATCTAGTTACAAAAGAATACAAAATCTTAAGGATATTTAGTGCAATATGTTATGATTCTCTGGATTTTGATGAGTGTGAGATATTCAACTTGAGTTCAGATCCAAGTGCTTCGTGGAAATGGATTGGTTTAGGACCTTATAAACTTGCTATATGGCAAAGGCCTGTCTATGTTAATGGAGCCATTTATTTGTTCACCGATGAAAATTACCATGAGTCTGAAGTCATTGCCATGTTTGACTTGCATAATGAAAAATTCAAAGCAATTGCACATCCAAAATGTTGCTGCTTAGATCCTTTTAAACAGCGCAGTCGAACGGATTTGGTGAGTTTGAGAGGCTGTGTGTGTGTGGCAGAACAAACATATGATTCTCAGCTAAATATATGGATAATGGAAGAAATCTATATATCGATCGATGAAAGCACAGTAATTAGGGAAAAGCTGTATTCCATCAATCTTTTCTTAATGGAATTTGGAATCTCTAATCTTTTCTTATTGGACTTTGGAATGTCTTTGAGATTTTCAATTGCGGAGCACAAGGATGGAACAGTTCTTTTGGCTTGTGGATGGAAGGATAAGTTGTACTTGTATGATCAAAAGTGCCAGAGCTTCAGTTCTTTGACATATGGAACAGGAGGCCTGTTTATGCCAACTACATTTATTGAAAGTTTAGTCCCTCTTTATGGAACAAGGCTGCCATCTTTTTATTGATTTAGTTTGGTCAAACAAGGGTTACTTTTCCAGGTTCTTATATATGTTTTAGCATCAGCAATGTTTTGATATTTGTAATGCAAAGGCATGTACTTAAGTCCTTTTCCAAAATTTTCTTTTCCTGATGATTGCAAGTATGCTTTAAATTTTAATAATATTGCACAATCATTTCCTTCCTGCGTTACGAAGTTTAGATCAAGATTTCATGGTAAAATTGAAGAACAGACCATCTTGCTTGCAAAATATTCTACAAGTTGTTCCAATTTTGAGGTATACAACAATAAATGCCCTCCCCTCTCCTCTTTCCTCTCCAACAACAGCAACAAAAGAAAAAAAAAAAGCTGAATTCAAACAGCAATTTGTCAAAATTCCGCAATAATCCCTCTTGCTGTTTAAATTCTTTGTATATAACTATCATACCATTTGGATGTCACCTATAGATTTAGATGCTACATACGAGAAATCATCTGTATCATACACTTTATTATGTTTAGAAGTGACAAATTTCTCTCTATCATGGCATAAAGCAAAGGCTTGCTCACCATGGACTGCATCATCACCAAGCTCCAGTTCTTCATCTGATAATCTTAGTGGAACTATCAACCCGATTAACCAACAAATAATGCTAGTCATAACAATATTTAAGATAATCACAAATAGCATGGCGGCTAGTTGGATTCCCATTTGTTTAAATCCAGCAGAAGTTCGACCATACTCTAGACCGTATGCTAGGCCAAGGTATTTTTCCCAGTCCGACACCATGTAGAAAAGACGACACAATTTTGGGACCGCGAAAAAGCCTGTAAGAATGCCTCCTAGGGCGCCGGCAATAGCATGAGTGTGGAATATGGCCATGGGGTCATCAACCAACTTCAACAGCTTAACCTTGTTATGGAGCACCATCATTGTGTACCATGGAACACTTCCTGAGATTATACCCATTATGATAGCTGCCCAGCACTGGACTACACCTGTTAAAATGTCACATAGTTATGTAAGTGAAAAATAATTTATTGTTAATACTATTTTTTTTTAATCTTCATTGAGCAAAGATATTGATCAGGTATTTATACCTGCAGCTGGAGTGATGCAAACCAGGCCAGTGATCATCCCTTGTATGGCACCAAGTACAGAAGGCTTCCCAAAGAAAAAGTTGTCAAGGAGGAGCCATGTCAACAGGCTGGTAGCCGTGCAAATGTGAGTGTTAAGGACGGCCAGAGCCGAAATAGTGCTGGCCGCAAATGGAGCTCCGCCATTGAACCCACTCCATCCCATCCAGAGCAATCCTGCTCCTGCAAGCATTAGAATTATATTGTTTGGAGGGAAATTGTGCCTGTCCTTCTCTGCTCTGGGGCCAACCTGAAAGAAATCGCCAGCTCGTTATAAGCTAAAATTTAGTATTTAACACTGAATTTGTTAATTTTGAGGCAAATTTCTCCTTAAACGGTATCGGATTTAGTGGACTTTTCACAGATTGTTACATTGGTGCTTACCCAAAATGCTGCAGTGAAACCGGCAACCCCTGATGAAAGGTGAATAACAAATCCACCGGCGAAATCTATAACCCCCAACTTTGCCAACCACCCTTCTGGACTCCATATGCTAAAAGCTGCAATTGTGTATGACAATGTAAACCATAATGGCACAAACAGTATCCATGCACGAAAATTCATTCTCCCCAAAAGTGCTCCGGCTATCAAAACCAATGTGATTGCTGCAAACACTGACTGAAAAAACACCATTGTCGCAGTAGGAAAGTACCCCAGAAACGCCCGTCCCAGCAAGAATTTTTCGTCTAATGCAACAGCTGGTTTTCCTAGGAAAAACACAAGTTTGTCACCGAATGACATGCGGAAACCCCACGCTACCCAACATACAAGAACCATTGCAAAGGCATAAAGCGCCATGAAAGCAGAGTTTATAGCCCATTTCTTTTTTACCATGCTTCCATAGAGGATCACAAGGCCGGGGATGCTCTGGAGGCCCACCAGGGTTGCTGCTGTTAGCTGCCATGCATTGTCACCCTTGTTCATCCACTCAGGGCTGGCCTCATCAGGTAAAAGGTTGGAAGGCAGCGCCATGGAATCAACAAATGAGGAAATGAAAATTTCTTGATATGAACTTTGTCTATGCAAATATCAAGTATAAAGTTGATTAATTAGAAGTCTAAATTGAGAATAAATTAGTGATTGTATAACCCTTTCGTATGAATTTGCCTGGATGTGTTTATATTATTTTCTTGTACTGATATTAGGCCCTAAGGCCGGCCACGCAGGCAAGTTGGCTTGATCTTTGAATTTTCTTCAGCTACCTGCTGAAATTTGACAGTGATTAGGGAATATCCAATTCCCAAAATTCTGGAAACAGCCAATCATGAAAAGCCATCAAAATGTTGGATGTAAAAAGCATAGAATTAATTAGAGGTTTTACAAATTAGATTAGCTACTCATGGGCATTTTTTCTGTCAATTTATTTAATATTGATAAGATTCCTATTAAAGAAAATACAATCATCCTTGCCCACACGAGGAGTGCATCTCCTTTTTTGTAGGAGGCATTGCCTTTCGTTTGTGTGATCACAAACACCGAATCTTGTCTTTATTCTGGACGAGGGTCATAATCTGAAAATCAGATTTCATGATTTCTGCTTGACGTTATACAGGAGTTGATGTGACCCTTTTGTCCTTTCTTTGCAGTGCCGGTTTGGCCCGGCAAGGCAGGGCAAACATTTAGACTTTCTTGGCTAGGCCCTGCAACTGAGGCCTGATTCATTTCTCCACCAGTTTCTAATATAAGATGCAATTGCTTACAACTAGGATTAGAATATCGGTTAATTCAAAAACCTGTAAGAGAATGACCAAAAACAAAGATAAATGTCAAACAGGCCTTCAATCATGTCGAAGCACATGGGAATAGTTTCTGGAAAGCTTAGAATGGTAAAAATAAAACTTTAGCCAATCTGGCCCTTTATGGTCTTAAAATAATCAAATATGTCATATGTGAATCATGATGTTGATAAATGTTTATATTCAAAATTGTCTCATTTTGAAAATCTGGTATTGATAGTGTAAATTTGTAATCTACTAATTAAAATCTATCAGCAAACATAAAAAAGAAAATACCAATGTGGAAGGTCATCACTTTGTATTCATATTCTAATTGTTTTGGTATGAATTGTAGAAATATTTGTTCAAATTTTATTTGCATGAAAAAAGTGAAAAGTATAACATGCTAATTTATTTGATTTTGGAAAAGAAAAATTATCGAAGATCAAATTCGAAATTTAATTTAATTGATTCATATAATTATTTTAAAGACCTAATATTTAATAAATTTAAATATCAATATTTGCAATCCATTTACTATTTGAACCTTTTTGTAAAAAAAAAAAAAAAAAGTCTAAAGTCCACCTTCTCTCTTTTGAAATTGTACGGTTTAAAGAACATGTTGCTCATTGGCTTGGTCCATAGTCTCAGTCCGGTTTGCTGATTATTTGACATTCCATTATTGCAAAGTTCCAGCCTTCTTTCTGTTTGAATTAGTCAGTTCTTCAACCACTGTCCCTTCATTTATTTGCATGTTGAAGTTTCTTGCATGAACAAACAGATGAAAAACGAATCAAAACCATGTGTAGCAAACAAGGAAGACAAATCACAAGAGACATTAACACCATTCACAAAGTTTTTAACCCATTCGTGTGACAGTCCGTGCTGAATACAACATGTTTGATAACATATTTTTCCCATGGAAGATTCAATGTTTAAAGTGTTGAAAAAGGCATCCAATATAATAATATATAAAACGTGTTTAACGATTCAAATTCAATGAATTAACTTTTGGTGCAAAAGTTTCTTAAGAAATGGATCTACAAATCTTTTAATTTGCACTAATCTTTTTGTATTTTTACGTGATTTTGACTCCGAATTTGAGGTTTAATTTATGGGTATTTTTCTTTACTTGTTAAACATGAAGCTAGCTGATTAATATCCTCCGGGATTATGAAATGAATCTTTTTTTCCTCTCCTCCTACAAATATTAGTATAACAATTTCGAAAATGTTGATATTTATAGATAAAGCTAAATTTTATTTTACTTTTTATTTTTTGAGTTATGATTGAAGTTTGAACTTGAAATTTTCAATTTTGAAGTTGATACAAATACCAATAAATCAGCAGTTCATCGATCTAAATAAGAATTTTAAATTGGGATTTTGGTGAACGTCAAAATTCAAAAAGGGCAAATTACAACATTTAAAGGGAGAAGTAATGTAAGAAGTCTGTCTATATCTGCCACTTGCCCAATTGGGTGCTAGTACAGTTTTGCTGAACTCATTTAACCAAAAAAATTAAAAAAAAATTTTCAGAGTTGAAATCCTCTCTATTTTAGAATTATTTCAGTACTAATTTGAATATCAAAATCAAGTTAAATTCATTTTAAGTTTTTCAACACATGCATAGCATGAATCTACATTAAATCTTACCCTGGAAAGTTCAATTCATACTGTCCAAAGTCTACAGTCAAATGTTTATTAGTGGGAAAATATTTATAAGTCATTATCAGTCGGCAGCTGTAATGCCAGAATCCCAAAGAAACATCTCATGGAAAACGCCTTTGAATTCGACCTCAAAATCAATAACAATACGTTTTGAAGAAATTTTGGACTTTGAAATTAAAACCCATCAACTTTCACTTATTACAATTCCTTCTGATCATCAGCATATTTTATACTATAAAATGCTTTGTTTTTCTAACTTGAACCAGGGACAACTTTCACCAAAAAGTACTAGCTGTGAAGATTGAGGCTGCTGTTTTTTTTACCTCCTAATTTCTGCTGGAGTTTTTCACTTTAATTAACAAACATGGGGGAAGTCCTGTATGAAGAACAGGTTGCTGAGTTCCAAGAAGCTTTCTCTCTCTTTGACAAAGATGGTGATGGTAAAGTTTCTTCTCTTAAGTGTTAATTTCCTGAACAAATTATAGCTACAACTGCCCATCAACGGTGTTTTAGAAGTAGAAACTTAAAACAATTAGACCGTGAAAATAACATCCTCATGTTAATTTGTTTACATATGGACTGATCATTGTTAAATGCGTTATAGGCTGCATAACCATGGAAGAACTAGCTATCGCTATCAAGTCACTGGATCAGAATCCAACAGAAGAGGAGCTGCAAAACATGATCAATGAAGTTGATACTGATGGTAATGGAACAATCGAATTTGGGGAATTCTTGAATCTCATGGCAAGAAAAATGAAGGTAATTATGTATATTTGGGTTATCAGCTTGATACTATAGTCCATTTTATCACTAAGAAAGACTAATTATTGCAGCCTGAATTTAACTCAATTAATTCATATAGCTATTGGACATACTATAGTCCGGTATTCAAATCCCAGTTTTTATAACTTCTTCCTCTATCTTCATGTTGCGACTTTCTCGGTAAAAAAAAAGTGATTATTATGTGAATCAATAATAGGAAGCAGATGCTGAAGAGGAACTAAAAGAAGCTTTCAGGGTATTTGACAAGGATCAAGATGGCTACATATCTCCTAACGAGGTTGATCAACTCTTCTACTTATAACCCTCAAAATAGACACAAATTAATAAAAACAAAAAAAACAAAAATGAAAAGGCATTTATATCTCATTTTGTTGGGGGTTTTTTCTTATATGCTAGTAATTAATTTGTTTGGAATAATAATGCAATTGCAGTTGAGGCAAGTGATGACCAACATAGGAGAGAAACCAACAGATGAAGAATTAAAGCAGATGATTAGAGAGGCTGATTTGGATGGAGATGGTCAAGTTAACTATGAGGAATTTGTGAGGATGATGTTGGCTGCTTGATCAACTTGTAATTCCTGCAAATAACCTCAGTGTGTATATGAATATATATATATATATATATATATATTTATATCATCTATATATAAAAGTGTAAACTTTAAAATTATTAAAAGTGAACGATATAAATATCCTTACAAATTTTAAGAAAAAACTAATTTACCTTTAAATTTTTAGCATTTTTTATTTATGTATTAAAGATTATTTTCCATTAAATATATATAATTTATTAGTTAATTATTTAAATTAATCCAAAAGTGCTAAAGTGAATAGCATAAATATCCTTATAAATTTTAAAAAATAACAAATTTACCTTTAAATTTCTAGCATTTATTTATTTATTTAATAAAGATTATTTGCCATTAAATATATAAACATTTTATTTGTTAGTTATTTAAATTTAAATCAATTAAAATTTATGAATAGAATTTATATCAAATTAAACTACATTAAAAATTTATTTGTGGGATATGGTGGATGTGTTGTCGAAAATTAACCCAAATTTACTCTTATCTTTTTTTTTTGTAAGATTTTTTTGTTTAATTTAATAAGTAATAATTCAATTAAATTCATATAAAACATATTTCTCATCCTATGGGCGATGGCATACTATGAGTCATTGATATTGAACAAAACATAGATAAAATCTTTCCTCTATTGCTCAATAAGTCATTATTTTAGTCTAAATTATTATATTACAACGTTTATGCCCCCAAAAACATTTAATTTTAAGTAAAACATATAATATTTTTTTTCAAGATACAACCTAATTTACTCTTTATCTTCTTTAATAGTACATATCATGAGTCCTTAAATATATTTATTTTTTATTTATTTAATTTAGATCAATTAAAATTAAAGTTCATACAAAATTATTAATTAAATTATCAAAATATCATTGAGAAAGAGTAGTACATGTATTGCGGTAAGTTTGTATATTTGAATTTTTTTATTTTTTTATGATAAATATACATTTATATGTGTAATGATTGCAAAGGTTGATTTATTTTACTATAATATTTCTAATCATTTTATGCAATCACGTCTTAACGTTACAATGACTAAATGAATATTTACTTTATGAACAAAATCTCTTGTATATGTGAATTGTAACTAAACTTAGAGTTTATTTTGTCTTCTATAGATTGATTCTATATTACATCCAAATTAATTTCAGTCAATCCTTATTCTTTTATTTTTAATTTCAAATATTTTTTATTTAAGATATTTTTATGAAACCATAGTCAATACTGTTAAGAAACATTAATCTTAAAGAAGAGAAATTATTTGATATAATGTTAGTTGAGTTTTTTTTAATTTCATAAGTAGGTTAAAAAATTAACACATCACTCACTTATTTTTTTAATTAGGTTTTTTTTTTTAATATCACTCACTTATTTTTTCAATTAGTCTTTTTTAATATACTCTGAAGCTTAAAGGGTATGTGTTACATTACTAATTTCAATTGTGAAATTTAAAAACTCTACTATCAATATATTTTATAATTTTTTCTTGAATAATATAGATTTATTTTTTTCAATCAAGAATGCTCTAGAATATTTTTGTATTTTGATAGTGAAAAATATTTTAATCATATGATTAATTGTGCGTATTTTGTTGAATAATCAAAGCTTTGTTAGTTTTGTAACCAATTATTATATTCTTTGAATCAATAATGTTATAGTTTATTTTCTATTATTTGTGTATATTCTTTAAGTATATTATTATTAATTTGTACTCTTATCATGAAAGTATCTATTTAATAATTATTTGTACTTTATGAGTGTGTTTATTATAGATAAATATATGTATCATCTATGATATCTACATATGAAAGTGTGAACTCTAAATAATATTAAAAAGTGATTTTTTTTTATTTCTTACACTCCTATTAATAATACATTGCATGCCAATCATGCATGTCCAATCAATTCTTTGATTCATAAAGAAAAGAAGACATACAATTAAATTCATTAGTTGCATAATAAAAAATTTGAAGTATAAGAATGTGAAATAAAATATGTTTATTTATATAATCTTACAATTAAGATCAAAAATTAATTCAATTAATAATGTTAAATTATATATATACAAAAATAAAACAAATGAATCAATTAATATTTTATATAGATCGTAAAATTATTAAATTAGTCTTTTTATTATTCAGTAGGTCAATATATCATAATATATATGAAAATTATTAAAAAAAAAGGTGTTGGATGACAAATGATAATGTGACATTTAATTTTTTTTTCTCTTAATGTGTAAAAAGTGCTAAACTTGGAATTTAGTCAACTTTACTATAAAAAAATTTATTTAAATTTTAGCTAAATATTTAGAATACTCCCAAACATATACATACTTTAGATTTTATAGCCTATCTTGAATAAGACATTTTATAATTAAGAAAATGTTTAATATATATCTATATTATATAAAAAATATGATAATTTATTAAATTATCTCTATTTATTTTTGTTTAATATTTTTTAGTAAATTAAAATATTATCTATTTTTTATTTATTTTCTTATTAAAATAGTTTTTCTTTAGTTAAGTCATTCATGCCCCAATTAAAGCAAGCAATACGGCTAGAAGGCTTAAAATAGTTTTTCTACAAATGAATAATTTAGTGTTTATAATATATTACACCTATTAATATGATTTACACAATTAAATTAATTATAAAAGAAATCAATTATAACTTAGTAGTAAATGTATAATAATATAGTAGCAAATTATTGATAATTTTATTATACATTAGTGATAATTTAGACAAAATCAATAATAACTTTATACTAAATTAATGATAACTGTATAGTAAATTATGAATAATTTCATAGTAAAATAATAATAACTTAATAGTAAATAAATAATAATTTAGTAGTAAATAATTGATAAAATTATATATGATAACATAATAATAAATACATAATAATATAGTAGGAAATAACAAATAACTTAACAGTAAAACATTTATACATAATTGTAAATGTATAACACATATTAGTAATTAAAAATAACTTAATAAAAAATAAATGATAACTTAGTAGTTAATTATTGATAACTTAGTAATAAATCACTGATATCTTAATAGTAAATTAATGATAACTTAATAGTAAATAAGATTTAGTTTAATATTCTCTCCATCCCAATAAAATTGTCACATTTTTTTTCAATTTTAATCACTTGTTCTTTTTTATTTATTATTGATAAAAATATGAAAAAATATTTTAAAAACTTTAAATGAAGTGGTTTCTAAATATATGTTTTGTAAAATTTAATTTATTAAAATATTTAAAATAAATAGATGTCAAAATTAGAAAAATTTAACCAAAAAAATCAATTGTGACAATTTAACTAGGACAAATAAAGGGAGTAGTAATTAATTGACAAATTTAGTAATAAATCATAAATAGCTTAGTAATAAATCAATGATAATTTAGTAGTAAATAATTTATAACTAAGTAGTAATTAATAATTGAAAATTAAAAGTAAATCAATATAACTTAATAATAATCATCAATAAATTAATAGTTAATCAGTAATAATTTAATATAGTAAATTAGAGATATAATTTAATAGTATATCAATTATAATTTAGTAGTAAATTAGTAATAATATAACAGTCTAAACATAATAGCTTAATAATAAATCAATTATAACATAGTTGTAAATGCATAATAACATAGTTGTAAATTAATGATAACTTCATAAAAAATGATAACTTAATAGTTAATCATTAATAATTTAGTAGTAAATTAATGAAAACTTAGTAGTAAATTAGTGATAGCATAATAGTAAATTTAGTTTAGTTTAATAGTAATTAAATTATAAATTTAGTAGTAAATCATAAATAATTTAGCGATAAATCAATGATAATTTAATAATTAATTACTAAAACTCAATAGTAAATCAATGATAACAAAGTAGCAAATGCATAATAGTATAATAGTAAATCATTAATAATTTAGTAGTAAATTATTGATAACTTAATAGTAAATCACTAATAACGCAATAGTAAAATATTGATAACTTAGTTATAAATCAGTGATAATTTAGTTATAAATCAATGATAATTTAATTGTAAATTAGTTAATTATTAATAACTTTATAGTAAATCAGAAATAACATTATAATAAATTATTAATAACTTAATAATAAATTATCAATAACTTAGTAATAAATCGTTTATAATTTAGCAGTAAATCATCTATAACTTAGTGATAAATCATGATAATTTAGTAATAAATCAGTGATAAGATAATAGTAAGTGAGTAGTAACTTATTTGTTAATTGGTGATAACATTTTTTTTATACTTAAAGTTACTAATGATTGAACCTTGGTTACTAGAAAGAGAAAAGGATTAGGATAAACTTACCATAAACTTATTCATTAAAAAATTTAGTAAAAAATTTCTAAATTTGAACAAAACAATAATGTTATATTATATAAAAAGAAAATTATCTCATATATTGTAATTAATTGATAAAATTAATAGTATATCATAAATAACTTAGTCATAATTCAATGATAATTTAGTAGTAAATAATTGATAACTTAATACCTAAATATTGAAAACTTAGTAATATATCAATGATAATTAGTAAATGCATAATAATATAATAGTAAATCACTAAATTTAACAATAAATCACTAATAACATAGTAATAAGTCATTTATAACTTAGTTGTATATCAATAATAATTTTGTAGTAAATCATTGATAATTTCATAGTAAATTAGTTATAACTTTATAATAAATTATCAATAACTTAATACTAAATCATCAATAACTTAATAGTAAATCATCAATAACTTAATAGTAAATCATTAATAATTTAATAATAAACCACTGGTAACTTAGTAATGAATTAGTAATAACTTAATTGTCAATTGATGATAAGGTTTTTTATATTTGATGTTTTTAGGGATTGAACTCCGATTACTAGCAAGAGTGAAGTAAAAACTTAGAAATAAATTAATTATAATAATAAATCAGAGTTATCTTAGTCATAATTTATTTATAACTAAATGCTAAATCGCTTATAATTTAGTTACAAATCAATGATAACAATAAATCAATGATAACTTATTAG